TTTTGTTCCATTGGTCTATATCTCTGTTTTGGTACCAGTACCATGCTGTTTTGATTACTGTAGCCTTGTAGTATAGTTTGAAATCCGGTAGTGTGATGCCCCCCGCTGTGTTCTTTTTGCTTAGAATTGACTTGGCTATGCGGGCTCTCTTTTGGTTCCATATGAAGTTCATGGTGGTTTTTTCCAGTTCTGTGAAGAAAGCCAATGGGAGCTTGATGGGGATAGCATTGATTCTGTAAATTGCTTTGGGCAATATAGCCATTTTCAGGATATTAATTCTTCCTAACCAGGAACATGGAATGTTTCTCCATCTGTTTGTGTCCTCTCTTATTTTGTTGAGCAGTGGTTTGTAGTTTTCCGTGAAGAGGTCCCTTACATTCCTTGTGAGTTGTATTCCTAGGTATTTTATTCTTTTTGTAGCAATTGTGAATGGCAGTTTGTTCTTGATTTTGCTTTCTTTAAGTCTGTTATTGGTGTAGAGGAATGCTTGTGATTTTTGCACATTGATTTTATATCCTGAGACTTTGCTGAAGTTGCTTATCATTTTCAGGAGTTTTTGGGCTGAGGCGATGGGATCTTCTAGGTGTACTATCATGTCGTCTGCAAATAGAGACAATTTGGCTTCCACCTTTTCTATTTGAATACTTTATTTCTTTTTCTTGCCTTATTGCTCTGGCTAGAACTTCCAGTACTATATTGAATAGGAGTGGTGAAAGAGGGCATCCTTGTCTAGTGCTGGATTTCAAGGGAATGCTTCCAGTTTTTGCCCATTCAGTATGATATTGGCTGTTGGTTTGTCGTAAATAGCATTTATTACTTTGAGATCTGTTCCATCGATACCGAGTTTATTGAGGGTTTTTAGCATAAAGGGCTGTTGAATTTTGTCAAACGCCTTCTCTGCGTCAATTGAGATAATCATGTGGTTTTTGTTTTTGGTTCTGTTTATGTGGTGAATTACGTTGATAGACTTGCGTATGTTGAACCAGCCTTGCATCCCAGGGATGAATCCTACTTGATCATGATGAATAAGTTTTTTGATTTGCTGTTGCAATCGGCTTGCCAATATTTTATTGAAGATTTTTGCATCTATGTTCATCATGGATATTGGCCTGAAGTTTTCTTTTCTTGTTGGGTCTCTGCTGGGTTTTGGTATCAGGAGGATGTTGGTCTCATAAAATGATTTGGGAAGGATTCCCTCTTTTTGGATTATTTGGAATAGTTTCAGAAGGAATGGTACCAGCTCCTCTTTGTGTGTCTGGTAGAATTCGGCTGTGAACCCATCTGGACCTGGGCTTTTTTTGTGTGGTAGGCTCTTAATTGCTGCCTCGACTTCTGACCTTGTTATTGGTCTATTGATAGTTTCAGCTTCCTCCTGGTTTAGGCTTGGGAGGACACAGGAGTCCAGGAATTTATCCATTTCTTCAGGTTTACTAGTTTATGTGCATAGAGTTGTTTGTAATATTCTCTGATGATGGTTTGAATTTCTGTGGAATATGTGGTGATTTCCCCTTTATCATTTTTTATTGCATCTATTTGGTTGTTCTCTCTTTTCTTTTTCATCAATCTGGCTAGTGGTCTGTCTATTTTGTTGATCTTTTCAAAAAACCAGCTCTTGGATTTATTGATTTTTTTTGAAGGGTTTTTCGTGTCTCTATCTTCTTCAGTTCAGCTCTGATCTTAGTTATTTTTTGTCTTCTGCTAGGTTTTGAGTCTTTTTAATCTTGCTCCTCTAGCTCTTTCAATTTTGATGATAGGGTGTCAATTTTGGATCTCTCCATTCTCCTCATATGGGCACTTATTGCTATATATTTTCCTCTAGAGACTGCTTTAAATGTGTCCCAGAGATTCTGGCATGATGTGTTTCATTTTCATTGGTTTCAAAGAACTTTTTTATTTCTGCCTTCATTTCATTGTTTATCCAGTCAACATTCAAGAGCCAGTTGTTCAGTTTCCATGAAGCTGTGCAGTTCTGGGTTGGTTTTTTGAATTCTGAGTTCTAACTTGATTGCACTATGGTCTGAGAGACTGTTTGTTATGATTTCCATTGTTTTCCATTTGCTGAGTAGTGCTTTGCTTCCAATTATGTGGTCAATTTTAGAGAAGGTGTGATGTGGTGCTGAGAAGAATGTATATTCTGTGGATTTGGGGTGGAGAGTTCTGTAAATGTCTATCAGGTTTGCTTGCTCCAGGTCTGAGTTCAAGCCCTGGATATCCTTGTTGATTTTTTGTCTGGTTGATCTGTCTATTATTGACAGTGGAGTGTTAAAGTCTCCCATTATTATTGTGTGGGAGTCTAAGTCTCTTTGTAAGTCATTAAGAACTTGCCTTATGTATCTGGGTGCTCCTGTATTGGGTCCATATATGTTTAGGATTGTTAGCTCTTCTTGTTGTATCGATCCTTTTACCATTATGTAATGGCCTTCTTTGTCTCTTTTGATCTTTTTTGCTTTAAAGGCTATTTTATCAGAGATGAGAATTGCAACTCCAGCTTTTTTTTTTGCTCTCCTTTTGCTTAGTAACTCTTCCTCCATCCCTTTATTTTGAGCCTTTGTGTATCCTTGCATGTGAGATGGGTTTCCTGGATACAGCACACTGATGGGTTTTGGATTTTTATCCAATTTGCCAGTCTGTGTCTTTTGATTGGTGCATTTAGTCCATTTACATTTAGGGTTAATATTGTTATGTGTGAATTTGATACTGCCATTTTGATGCTAGCTGGCTGTTTTGCCCGCTAGTTGTTGTAGATTCATTATGTTGATGCTCTTTAGCATTTAGTGTGATTTTGGAATGGCTGGTCCTGGTTGTTCGTTTCTATGTGTAGTGCCTCTTTCAGGAGCTCTTGTAAAGCAGGCCTGGTGGTGACAAAATCTTTGAGTACTTGCTTGTTTGCAAAGGATTTTATTTTTCCTTCACTTAGAAGCTCAGTTAGCTGGATATGAAATTCTGTGTTGAAAGTTCTTTTCTTTAAGGATGTTGAATATTGGCCCCCACTCTCTTCTGGCTTGTAGTGTTTCTGCCGAGAGATCTGCTGTGAGTCTGATGGGCTTCCCTTTGTGGTGACCCGACCTTTCTCTCTGGCTGCCCTTAGTATTTTCTGCTTTATTTCAACCGTGGTGAATCTGACGATTATGTGGCTTGGGGTTGCACTTCTTGTGGAATATCTTTGGGGGTGTTCTCTGTATTTCCTGCATTTTAGTGTTGGCCTGCCTTGCTAGGTGGGGGAAATTTTCCTGGATAATATCCTGAAGAGTATTTTCCAGCTTGGATTCATTCTCTTCGTCACATTCTGGTACACCTATCAAACGTAGGTTAGGTCTCTTCCCATAGTCCCACATTTCTTGGAGACTTTGTTCATTCCTTTTTGTGCTTTTTTCTCTAATCTTGGTTTCTCATTTTATTTCATTGAGTTGATTTTCGACTTCTGATATTCTTTCTTCTGCTTGGTCAGTTTGGCTGTTGAAACTTGTGCATGCTTCGTGAAGTTCTTGTATTGTGTTTTTCAGCTCCTTCAATTCATTCATATTCCTCTCTAAGTTATCCATTCTTGTTACCATTTTCTCGAATGTTTTTTCAAATCATTTTTCAAGGTTCTTAGTTTCTTTGCATTGATTTGAAACATGTTCTTTTAGCTCACAAATGTTTCTCATTATTCACCTTCTGAAGTCTAATTTCATCATTTCATCACAGTCATTCTCAGTCCAGCTTTGTTTCCTTGCTGGTCAGAAGTTTTGGTCCTTTGTAGGAGGCAAGGTGTTCTGGTTTCAGGTGTTTTCCTCCTTTTTGCACTGGTTTCTTCCCATCTTTGTGGATTTATCCACCTGTCATCTGAGTAGTTGCTAACTTTTCGATTGGGTCTCTGAGTGGACACTCAGATTGTTGATGATGAAGTATTTCTGTTACTTGGTTTTCCTTCTACCAGTCTAGCTCCTCCACTGTACGACTGCTGAGGTCCACTCCAGGCCCTGCATGTCTGGGGTGCACCTATAACGGCTGTGGAACAGTGAGGGATGCTCCAGTTTTTTTTTCTGCTATCTTTGTCCCAGAATGATGCCTGTCAAATGTCAGTCTTCTGGATATAGAGGGGTCAGGGAGCTGCTGGAGGAGACAGTCTGTACTTTATTGGAGCTCAAGTGCTGATCTGTGAGCTCTGTTGTTCATTCAGGGCTGTTAGGCTGCTACATTTAATTCTGCTGCAGCAGAACTCATTAATAAAAAAACCCTTTTTTTCTCAGATGCTCTGTCTCAGGGGGTTGGGGTTTTCTTTATGTGTCTGTTGCGCTGTCCTGCCAGCTAGGAGGCAGTCTAGTCACTATTTGCCTGCTGAGTCTCTGCCCTGCTGGTGTGAGGTCTGCCCTATTGCTGCAGGCTCTGCCCTGCTACTGCGGTCTCCGCCCTGCTGCCATGGGCTACGCCCTGCGGGGAGTCTCTCTGTTGTGGTGGGTTGCCTTGGCAATGGCAGGCTGCGTCAGCAATGGGAGTGTACCTCAGTAGGAGCGGGTTGCCTCGGTAATGGCAAACGCCCCTCCCCCACCAAGCTGCATGGTCCTGGGTTCAGCTGTGCCCGCAGTGAAACTCTCCACCTGGAGCGTTTGGAATCGCCATTTTGTCCCACTGCCCTGGCCCAAACACCGTTTCCCTGGAATCTCCGGGCCTGGCTCACTGTCCAAGTCCTGTTCAATCAGATGGATATACCAATCTGCCCTCTCAAGTCTCAGATTGCCGGTTCAACAGGGCACCCGGACCAGTGCGCTTTGTGCGGAGCACTGTGGTGCGCTGCTGTGCTGCAGCGCCGGCCGCCGGCTGCACCAGCCAAAACCGCTTCGCTGGCGTCCCACGTCTCTTTTATACCTGGGAATTTCCCCATTCTGTGGGCAACAAAGATCCGTCTGGAAATGCAGCCCTGACTCACCCTCCACATGTTCACTGAGAGCTTCAATCCTGGGTTGTTCTTACCGTGCCATCTTGAGTCCCTGAATCTTGTTTTGTTTTCTTACTTTTAGGAGGGAACAGCGATCTCCCAAATCTGGTGAGTCCAAAAGCATCTCCTTGAGAACTATGCCAGGTTCTGTTGACATTTTGCTCTGATGAGGGAAAAATAACCAATCACTTCCATTGCCTTTAGACTGTAATGATCAGTGGCAAATGATCCAGGGTCAGTTCTTGAATGTCAGCATTATGGCAATTCCTTGCCTGTGTTCAGTGGCACCTAGAGGCTTGGCACCGACTACCAGGTGAGTAAGCATTTTTATCGAATCATTGATACATTTCTTATAAACCAATTTTTTTTCCAGTGTACCTGACTAACTGTTGGTTAGCTAGAAACTTAACAGGTAGTTTCTCTTTGTATATTAGAGATTCTAAGGGATTTGTCACAGTAGGTTGAGAAGAACAGTTGAACTGGAATAATTAGCAGATGATCATTGACTATTTAAGGTCACTGAGGATAAAATAATATTTTCTAGGTTTTATTGACAGAATCTCATCATATGCCTACTTTGCTTGATTTATTCATTTAGTTGTTGAAGACATTATATTAAATACTGATATTTTTGTTAATGTCTTTGCTTTCCAACTCTAATGCAAACATAAATATCCTTAGCATGAAAAGCCCACATATGTATATTTGATACTGCGTTAGTCTGTTTTCATGCTGCTTATAAAGACATACCCAAGACTGGGTAATTTACAAAAGAAAGAAGTTTAATGGACTTACAGTTCCACAATGCTGGGGAGGCCCCACAATCATGGTGGAAGGTGAAAGGCACATCTCACATGGAGGCAGATAAGAAAAGAGAGCTTGTGTAAGGAAACTCCTGTTTTTAAAACTGTTGGATCTCATGAGACTTATTATCACAAGAACAGCACAGAAAAGACCCACCCCCATGATTAAATTATCTCCCATGGTGTCTCTCCCACAACACATGGGAATTATAAGAGCTATAAGATGAGATTTGGATGGGGACACAAAGCCAAACCATATCAGATACTTTTAGTCAAAGGAAACATTTCAGTTCTATTTAATGTGAATAGTAGTGCACATCAATCTCCTGCACACATTTTCAATTGAATGCAATACAAGACATCTTATATGTATAATTTTATCCATAGGATATAGGCATTCCTTCTCTTGCACATTCCTCTTAAACAGCTGTCCATTATGGAGCTGAAAATATTTCTTTCCTAAATCCAATCTTGTAGAGCATAGGAGAAAGGATTATGAATGTTGTGAAATATAGTCAATAAACAGGGAAATACTCTAAGTCAGAGAAGAAAAAAGAGAAATTACAAACTTGGATATTGAAAACCCAGATGGCAAGGTCCTCATTAATTACATCTAGTGCTAAAACTTGTAAGGAGTATTTTGTGTCTTGTGTGATTTAGAAATTGAGCCTGATGGTTTCCCCACACACCCTCAGAAATCCCAGATAGCTGTGTGCTGTCCTAATGTAGTTTCCCTGACTGAACTTGAAGACTTGGCTACCTGACCAAGCAATGAATATCTAACCCTGTTTGCTCAAGGACCTTCTTGGGAGCATAGTCCTGCTTTTCTGGGAGCAATTGATTTGTAGCTCCTTCAAAGCCACTCATAAATGTTCAGCTTGACTGGAATTCCACTGTTGACTCTCCAGGCTTAATTGGTATTGATGATTTTTTCAGAGAAGGATGACTAATTAGAGATTTCTTCTGTGGTTTATAATCACAACATGCCATCTTTGCAAAGGGCCTATAGATCAAGCCTCAGTTGACCAGAGATTTTTCAGAAATGTAGCTTCTGATGAATCAGGATGATTGAACAGGAGACTTCATTTTCTGCTTTTTCCTGCACCATGATAAATAATAATTTATGTTAAAATATCTCAATGCAAATTGCTGATAGGAACTAATATTTTTATATTCTATGTATTCTAAAATTCAATGTGTTCATATACGTGAAACATTTAATGCAGTGCCAGCCATGTAAGTTGTGTTTCTATTTTAAGTAAATATTGCAAGCAGGCATAGGATAATGCTTTTAATGTTTATAAAATTATGCAATTAAAAAAATAAAGGATGCACAGTAATGCTATCATGAATATTTTGGTGCTATTTATTTTTAATTGGGAAGAAGAGGCGTGATGGAAAGACTAGTGAGCATAGAGTATTGGTGCTGATGACCATTTTGTTTTTCTCTGTGTGCCTTTGAAAAAATCACTTAAACTTGGAGTTGTCTTTTCCTTCTATGTGAAATCAGTGAATGATGAGATAATCTCTAAGGTCCCTCTAACCTGAGCTTCCATAAGATACCAAGAGCTCTTTCTTATGTTGTTGTTATTCTTAGATTAACTTCATGTTTGCACTGAAATCAAGCTAGAAGTCATTTGTATGTATTTCTGCAAACTGCCTTCTATAGCTCAATGCATTTGTGAGTGGCTGTTTTGACACTAAATCACACCTCTGAATTTTCAGTCTCTTATATTGGATGGAACAGTTATGCAAGATTAAAATGTTCAGTCATTTAACTGAACATGTGTGGCAGCATTTGTTCACTCCATTTCATCCATCCAAAGGCCACTTTGATTTATTTCATTTCCTATGTCATTTGGACCTTCTGTCTATAAAAAAATATTTAAATCACACTTTAGATTTTAGAAAATGTTGAGCTATTTGTTACACCACTTGTGCATATTAACTATTCTATAATACATCTTTTAACAACATAGTTTCACATTTAGAATTTCTAATTAACATTGGATTTTAAATTATGTCTTGATATGTGAGTAGGATGCATGATGGTTTGTTTTGTAAAATGCTCTAATGTGGGAGTATATTGAGAAGGAAGCCTGTGATTTAATAAAACTCATTTGAAAGCCTGCATAGTTTAAAAAATAATAGCAAGATATGGTTTATGAATTTCAGGTAAATGAAACATGGTGATGATTTATCTATCCTGTCCAATACTTTTCGTAAACAGTATATTTGTTATAAGGAACAGTATGTCACGATTTTTGGTATACTATCTTATTAAACTTCTTAATATCTAACACAAACATTTAATTTCAGGTTAAATAATGGAAGTATGGCTCTTATAATTGCCCGAAACACTTCTCGGTCAGAATTTATAAAACACCTGAAAAGATATGCCAGTGTAAAAAATCAGGTATAGTAAATTCTTTTTGTTACTTATTCGCAAAGCTATTAATCATGGAGAGAGAGAGAGAGAGAGAGAGAGAGAGAGAGAGAGAGAGAGAGAGAGAGAGAGAGATGCTGCAAGAGTTGACATCGAGTTCTGACTCATAAGAAGACCTTATTTTCTGCTTAATATATTAATCTTTTTTTCGATCTGTTTCATCCAAATTTTGAAAAAGCATATACCAGTATTAATATCGATTGGCCTTTTTTGAACGATGGGTTAGTGGTTATGTTAGTGGTGATGTATATGTAACCACAAAGATAAAATTGAAAATGTAGTGTTATGTTGCAATCTGAAATAAGGATAAAATTACATACTCAGGCCATTCTTCAGAATGAAAAGTAGTGAAATTTGAGAGTTTAGCCTTCTTGATATTATGGTGGCAGACTCTCTAAAGTTACAATCTTTAGATTTTCCTGACATCTGTTTGCATATCTGCCTATGCTCATTGATTGAAATAGATTTTATGTATTTAAAAATGTAACCCTTTTATACAGATATTTATTTACAATGAGAATGTGTGAAGATATATATTTCCAATTAAATGATTTTCTTTAAAGTGAAACAGTAACTATTAGAAGCCATATAATTTTGGTGGATATTTGACCTGATTATTAGGAAAATGATACTAGAAATATGTGAATTTCTGAAATTGTGAGTCTTTGAGGTACATAGATATGGTTGTAAAACCCTATAGTTTCACACATTCTTAAGGTTTTAAAATGGTGCTTGGATGTACTTGGGAGAGAACAGATGGGAGGAGGAGAGTCAACTCAGCCAATGACGGGCAGCTGAACTTTGCTTATGTACTTCAGCCATTGCAAGGCTCTCCATTTTTGCCTCATTATAATTTCAGACTTTCTTAGGCCATTCTTAATAAGTTTGATCTGTCTATAACATTATTTGATCTTCATGTATTAAGCAACTAACTGGGCTGTTTAGGAACTTAAATCATAAAAAAAATTAGATATAGTCTCACTTTTCTTATATGTCAAAGTAGATCAGCAGATATAATGTAGGTTGTGAGCTTATGAAACAACTTTATGTGTTTTTTGGGGGAATATGGAGATTTATTATTTTTCAAAGGAATATATGCCTTTTCATATTTTACTAAATTTCTAAACATTAAAGCCAATTTTTTAAAAACCCAAAGCAGTATATATTCACTGCTGCTTTTAAGGCAGAAAACAGAAACAAGAAAATAAAGCACTCAGAATTCTGTGTTCCTTGAGATAAGTATCATTACCTTGGTAGAATTTTTCTCTGAATCCTTTTCTATTAAATGAGAAGTTAAGTATTAACCTCATTTATATACCCCTATTTGAGAACTTAAGTGGGTGTTAACCTATTAATGTACCCCTGAGAAACTATGTTAGGGAGGTGTGTATTGCACATATTGTTTATGGAAGGTCTCTTTTGAAATTACCCATGGGCAAGTTTCTTTTGTAAACATTCTTTTTTTTTTTTTTTTTAAAGTCAATATACCTTTCTTCTTATTTTAAAAGCAATGATTACCTTAAACATAAGGACAGATATACAGAAAATAACAAAAATCTGTATCGATAAGAAGATGTTTTCTAGGCCAGGCATGGTGGCTCATGCCTGTAATCCCAGCACTGAGGCGGACGGATCATGAGGTCAAGAGAGCTAGAACAACCTGGCCAACATGGTGAAACTCAGTCTGTACTAAAAAATACAAAAATTAGCTGGGCGTGGTGGCATGTGCCTGTAGTCCTAGCCACTTGGGAGGCAGAGGCAGGAGAATCACCTGAACCTGGGTTGTGGAGGCTGCAGTGAGCAGAAATGGCGCCATTGTACTCCAGCCTGGTGACAGAGTGAGACTTGGTCTCAAAAAATAAAAAGAGAACGATCCAAGATGGCTGATCGCTAACATCTCAGTATTGCAGCTCCCAGTGAAAGCGCAGAGAACGAGAAGACGCCACACTTTCAGACAAATTTTTGTCACTCACGGAGCAGAAGATTCCCAGTGGAGGAACCGCACTGGTCGCCAGCGCGACTCTTGTGGCTGGCGCAGTGGTTTTGCCAGCACCTAGGCACGGCAGCTCTTGGTACAGAGTAAACGGGACTGGTTCCCCTTCTGACCAACGTTTGGAGCTCCAGGAAGGCAGAGTCACCTATTACGGACTCAAGAAGGAAGCCAGACTGGAGATTCCTGGGCAGAGAAGCGCCATCAGTCTTAATGCTGCTGTTTTGGCCAGCGCAGTGGGTTGCTCATATTTCGGCCCTGGGAATTAACAACTTGGATGTCCACTCAGAGACCTAATTTGAAAGTTGGTAATTACAAAGATGACAGGTGGATAAATTTACAATGATGGGAAGCAAACCAGCGTAAAAAGGCTGAGAATACTCAAAATCAGAATGCCTCTCCCTCTAAAGAGGATCACAGTTCCTCGTCAACAAGGGAACAAGGCTTGATGGAGAATGAGTGCATCCCATTAACAGAATCAGGCTTCAGAAGATGGATAACAAGAAACTTCTGTGTGTTAAAAAAGAACATGTTGTAGCCCAATGTAAAGAAACTAAAAACTTTGAAAAAAGGTTTGAGGAAATCCTAATGAGAATAGACAACTTAGAGAGGAATATAAGTGAATTAATGGAACTGAAGAATACAATATGGGAACTCCTAGAAGTATGCACAGGTTTAAACACTCGAATTGTTCAAGCAGAAGAAAGGATATCAGAGGTTGAAGTCCAACTTAATGGAATAAAACGAGAAGACAAGATTAGAGAAAAAAGGATAAAAAGGAATGAGCAAAGTCTCCAAGAAATGTGGGACTATGTGAAAGGACCTAATTTACATTTGATAGGTGTACCTGAATGCGACGGAGAGAATGAATCCAAGCTGGAAACTATTCTTCAGGATATTATTCAGGAAAATTTTCCTAACCTAGCAAAGCAGGACAATATTCAACCCCAGGTAATACAGAGAACACCACAAAGATATTCCTCAAGAAGAGCAACCCCAAGGCACATAATTGTTAGATTCACCAGGGTTGAAATGAAGGAGAAAATACTAAGGGCAGCCAGAGAGAAAGGTCAGGTTACCCACAAAGGCAAGCCTATCAGACTTACAGCAGATCTCTCAGCAGAAACTCTACAAGCCTGAAGAGAGTGGGGGCCAATATTCAACATCCTTAAAGAACAGAACTTTGAGCCCAGAATTTCATATCCAGCCAAACTAAGCTTCACAACTGAAAGCAAAATAAAATCTTTTATGAACAAGCAAGTATGCAGAGATTTTATTACCACCAGGCCTGCTTTACAAGAACTTCTGAAAGAAGCATTACACATAGAAAGAAACAACCAGTATTAGCCTTTCTAAAAATATACCAAAAAGTAAAGAGCATCAACATAAAGAAGAATTTACATCAATGAATGGATAAAACAGCCAGTTAACATCAAATGGCAGTAATCCTAAATTTAAATTGACTAAATCCCCTAATCAAAAGATACAGCCAAAACCCAACTGTATGCTACATCCAGACCCGTTTCACATGTAAGGATACACAAAGACTCAAAGGGATGGAGAAAGATTTACCAACCAAATGGAGAGCATAAATAAATAAATAAAAAGCAGGAGTTGCAATTCTTGTATCTGATAAAATAGATCTTAAAGCAACAAAGATATAGTGTTAAAAGGATCAATGCAACAAGAAGAGCTAATGATCCTAACACCCAGATACATAGAGATTTAGACTCAATGAGACAGAAAATTAATAAGGATATCCAGGACTCGAACTCAGATCCAGAACAAGTAAACTTAATAAATATTTATAGAGCTCTCCACTTTAAATACACAAAATATACATTCTTGTCAATACCACATCACACCTACTCATAGGTTTAAATGAAATATTGATTGGCCATTATTAATACCCATTTCTTTAGAATAAAGCAACATTTCCATTCTCCCTCCCTCTTTTTCTTCCTCTTTCTTCCTCTCCTCCACTCCTTTTTTTTCTTTCCTTCTCTAAAAAAACGAAAAAAGAAAAAGAAATCAACTTGTAGACCTCTAGATCCAGGTTGGCAATGTCTCTCTCACTGCCTGATTTCCTTCCTTCCCTTCTCTCCCTTCCTCCCTCCATTCCTCCTTTCCTCCCTTCCTGCCTTCCTCCCTTCTTCCCCTCAAAAATAAATAAATAAATAAATAGAAAAAAGGAAATGTTTTCTAAAAGAGATAATGTTATACAGGATATATCATATTTTCTCATATACTCTACCACGCATATCTTGCTTTTGATACAAGAAAGTGCTGCCTGTGTGAGATTCACTAGCCTTAACTCTGATTTATGTATCAACTTTCAAAAAGTAAAATCCATATTGCTTTTATTTTTTGCAAATAAAAATTCTAAAATATTTGGTATAGGGTATATAGTAAGAATAATTAGATTGATTCCCAGGGTGGCTGTTTTCAAGCAATGTTAATTTGATTCATTAGTTATCCACACAGTTGTGTGTATTTAGGCTCTTTTCTTCATGGTGACATTAAAAATGTGAATTTATATAAATTTTGTAAGATTATGACAATCAGATCTATGTAAAATCATTTCTACTGCATAATTTGTAGCAGTGCTGCTATTCAGGAAGGGAAATGTGACAATTTAGTTTGGGGAGAGTAACATCTGTTTCTCTGAACCATGTTTACCAGGTTGAATAAGTAACGATTACTGTATAACACCGTAAAACAGATTGAAACCACCATGTGCGGGGTGGCTCCTGCTGCATTCTTCATCTCTGTGTGAAATTAGATAGAGGGTGAACACTATCCTTCAGAGTCCTTGCAGCTCCATCCTATTGCTTTGCCCCCGACTCACTGTCCATGCTTTTCCCTTTCATTGTGACCATTTTTGGTAGGGAGTTTGAAACCTTAAATGTGACTGCTTCCCAGGGATTTGTTTGCAGCCCCCACGTCTTCTCAGGATACGCTCTCCTGGATGGTCTCATTGCCCCTCACTTTTGAACTATCTAAGCATCATGTACTCTCAAGGGTTCTGTCATCTCGTCTTATCTGCAGGACCTCTTTGGCTTCTTGTATGCCACAGAAGTCCTAAAACTCACTGGCATCTTGAAGCCAATGTGTCCATAGCCAACATTTTCCTTTAACGTTGCCCCTTCTATGTTGTTCTGTATGGGTTAGTGGCACCAGCTTCTACCCATCCAGGTTACCCTGGACTCCTCCATCTCCCTCATTCCTCACTACCAGTCCCCTAACTTGTTCTATTGGTCTCTTCTTAAATGTTTCTAAAATTTCTCTCTCACCTTGATTCAAACTTTAATCATTTCTTACAGTAGATGCCTTTCAGCCTTCAGGTTCTCTGGTCTTGTCTTCTATACCTCCTTTTAGAGAAACTTTTTTCTAAGACATACATTGGATTTCTCTTCTGCTTAATTCTTCACTGCCTTTCTCTTATTGTCAGAACAATATGGAATTTCCTCAGTCTGGAACACGAGGCTTTTGTATTCAGGTCCCTGTCTGTGTTGCAACTGCACCTCTTATTACCACCTTCCACCACATTCCCAGTGTTTTGGCATTGTATTCATTGGCTAGGGTTGCCATAACAAATACGACAGAAAAGATGGCTTAAACAACAGAAATGTAATTCTTTCATGGTTCTGGAGGCGAGAGCTGCAAGATGATGGTCGCAGGTTTGGTTTCTCCTGAATATTCTTTCTCCAGCTGGCACGTGGTTGCTTTCTCACTGCACCTACAAGTGAGTGGTCTTTCCTCTGTGCATCCCCGATGCCTTTTTCTATGTCCAAATTTCCTCTTGTTATAAGGACACCTATCATTAGATGAGGGCCTAAAGACATCATTTTAGCTTAATCAGCTCTTTAAACATCTTATCTCTAAATACAGTTACATTCTGAGGCATAGAGGGTAACGATTTCAACACAGGAATTGGAGGGCCAAGGGGCATGATTTGCCCATAGGAATCACACTGAATTCTGTGTAGTTGCTTGACCATGGCATGCCTCTCATCTTGTAAATGCTTAGTCTCTCCTGACTTTCTTCCCCAGGCTCAATCTTCTGTTCTATAAGACTCAATTCAAATGGAAAGTTTTCTCAACATCTGGAGCCTGTTTGCTTGTTTCCTGCATTGAACACGCTTGCACAATCATGGCACTTCTCTGTGTCACAATTGGAACTGTTTACTTCTCCCCATGCCCCAAACATACCCTCACCCATGATGCTAAACTGTTGGCTCCCTAAAGTTCCACTTAACAATGTCTGTGGCTTCACAGTTAAAGCATTTGAAGGATGGCTAGACCTTCATTTTGTGAGTCAGTTAAAGCATTTGAAGGATGGCTAGACCTTCATTTTGTGAGGTGTGCACATGACAACTGATTAAGATGACAGACTTACTGGTGGTGGCTGTCAATTCTTGGCATCGCTTGGCTTGCAGCTGCATCACTGCAGTCTCTGCCATCTTGGCATTCTTCTCTCATAAGGACATCCGTCATAGTGGATTAGGGCCCACCCTAATGACTTCATCTTGATATATCTGCAAAGACCCTACTTCTAAACAGGTGACATTCACAGGTTCCAGGGGTTAGGACTTGAACATAGTTTGGGGGAGAATATAATTTGGCCCATAACAGCCAGTTGTTAACATATTTAAAACACAATCTCTAACATGAATAATTATGCAGATAATTCTACAAGGATAAGGCATGTAGCCACGACTTTACACGCGAGGTGGGAGGCCTAATGCAGTAACTGTCAAACAGTTTTGCTTGGGTCCCTCTAATTCAGTACCTCAGTCATGACAGCTGATGCAATCACATCATCTATTGTTTAACTGTGTTTACGATACAGTGTAAACTGGAAAGTCTGTTGGACCTTGGTATCTACATATGTAAAATATGGGTATTGGGAAAAATATTAGGTTTCTGTCAACTTTTAAAACTGTTTAATTGAGGTTTATAAGTGGAAAAGGGGAAAAAGGTATGTAGATGATGTTTAATTAGGAATATATCTCCTGTCATTTATCTGAAAACTGAAATGAGTAATTATGTATTTCCACTAAAGCGATTTGGCTATATTTTGTTTCAGAAATAGTTTCCTAATGAACACAAATGCCCAACATCTGGGCATTTTTTCCAGTATAGTTTCCTTAGGCAAACAAAAAAAAAATGCAAGTTGAAGTTTACCTTGCACCATTCTATAGTGGTCAGTAAGTAAACAGTGATCTTGCAACTTGTGTTCATTGTTAAAGTAGGAATGGGGCAAGTAAACAGCTGTTAAAATCCATATTTGATTGGCTTTCTCTTTTTATTTATTTTTATTACATTTTAGGTTTTGGGGTATATGTGAAGAACATGCAAGATAGTTGCATAGGTACACACATGGCAGTGTGATTTGCTGTCTTCCTCCCCATCACCTATATCTGGCATTTCTCCCCATGCTATCTGTCCCCAATTCCCCACCCGCCTTCACTGTCCCTCCCCTATTTCCCCTTCCCCTATTTCCCGCTGACAGACCCCAGTGTGTGATGCTCCCCTCCCTGTGTCCATGTGTTCTCATTGTTCAACACCTACCTATGAGTGAGAACATGTGGTATTTGATTTTCTGTTCTTCTGTCAGTTTGCTGAGAAGGATGGTTTCCAGGTTCATCCATGTCCCTACAAAGGACATGAACTCATGGGTTTTTATGGCTGCATAGTATTCCATGGTGTATATGTGTCACATTTTCCCTGAGTCTATCATCAATGGGCATTTGGGTTGGTACCAGGTCTTTGCTATTGTAAACAGTGCTGCAATGAACATTCCTGTGCATGTGTCCTTATAGTAGAATGATTTATAATCCTTTGGATATATACCCAGTAATGGGATTGCTGGGTCAAATGGAATTTCTATTTCTAGGTCCTTGAGGAATCGCCACACTGTCTTCCACAATGGTTGAACTAATTTACACTCCCAACAATGTAAAAGTGTTCCTATTTCTCCACATCCTCTCCAGCATCTGCTGTCTCCAGATTTTTTAATGATCATCATTCTAACTGGCATAAGATGGTATCTCAATGTAGTTTTGATTTGCATTTCTCTAATGACCAGTGATGATGAGCATTTTTTCATATGTTTGTTGGCCTTATCGATGTCTTCTTTTGTAAAGTGTCTGTTCATATCCTTTGCCCGCTTTTGAATGGGCTTGTTTTTTTCTTGTAAATCTGTTTTAGTTCTTTGTTGTTTCTGGATATCAGCCCTCTGTCAGATGGGTAGATTGCAAAAATTTTTTCCCATTCTGTTGGTTGCCGATTCACTCTAATGACTGTTTCCTTTGCTGTGCAGAAGCTCTGGAGTTTGATTACGTCCGTTTGTCTATTTTGGCTTTTGTTGCCAATGCTTTCGGTGATGAAGCCCTTGCCTATGCCTATGTCCTGAATGGTTTTGCCTAGATTTTGTTCTAGCATTTTTATGGTGTTAGGTCTTATGTTTAAGTCTTTAATCCATTTGGATTAAAGTTAATTTTAGTGTAAGGTGTCAGGAAGGGATCCAGTTTCTGCTTTCTGCACATGGTTAGCCAGTTTTTCCAACACCATTCATTAAACAGGGAATTCTTTCCCCATTACTTTTGTCTGGTTTGTCAAAGATCAGATGGTTGTAGATGTGTGGTGTTGCCTCTGAGGCCTCTGTTCTGTTCCATTCTCTTTTAAAAGAAGATATACTTCCAATTTTATCTTCAGAAGTTTACACTGTGTTCTTCCAAATTAAATTCCAAGTGTGAAACTTGCATTAGTTTGCTTTATGTTAGCTAAACTAATTAAGTTGAAAACTCTACAGATTGTCTTCTGTATCTACAGGCCAGTATTAAAGACAATCTTTAATTGAAAAATCTACAATATTATTATATGCAACTTCTCACAGATCTCCACTTTTTTGGAAGATAAATCTTGTTTTATGACAAATACTTGTCATAAAAGATTTCTAGCATTTAGAAATCTTTTAAAAGAAGCCAAAAGACTTCAGAGAATCGTTCTTCCAGAGAAAGTAGAGATCCCTGTTCATAGTCTCAAAGCTATAAAAATGTCAGCATGCATGTTCATATTTACTTGTGAGAGGGTGCAGTGAGCTTTGTGTTAGTAGCTAGAGATAAAGCAAGTATCATGATTATTTGTATTTATTTTTAGTTTAATTTTCCATTTGTTGAGACTTACACTGTTGAGGAAGTAAAAGTTCATCCAAGAAACAATACCAGTGGATATAATCCAGAGGAGGAGGATGAAACTGCTTCAGAAAATGGGTTTCCTTGGAATGTAGATGGCGATTTAATGGAAGTTTCATCAGAGGTCCATATTAGGTATGTCTAATTATGTCACTGCTTTATATGTCAACCAGTAAACATAAACCTATTGATACAATGAAAGCTCTCTTCTCTCAACTATCAAAGCAGGCAGTTGGTTAGTTTTTTAAAAAATCAGAAGATCGGGGAAGCATAAAAAGAGACATGCACAAATTTCAATTAAAAAAGTAACTTTACATTTATTCCCCAATTGTTATGTAGATCCAAGGCATTTGTTTTGGTTATGTGTGTCTAAATTGGCTTTCTAATTTTTTATTGTACATAAACTATACAGATAATGTCTACAACTTCCATTTTAGATTTTTAAAAATGAATCAAGATCTTAAACCTTTTTAAGTGGAGCCATCTGAGTAGTAGAGTGTTAGATTTTAATCCTTCAGTCTTGCAGTTTCCTCTCACTCATAATTACTGTAACACTTTTTGTTCAGAAATTTGCTTTTATTAGGTGTTTATGAAGCATTCAACTTCCTTTACATAGGAAGAGTTTTACATATTAATGAGCAACTGGTATAAACAGGTTTGGGAACCTGCAAACTCATCCTTGGTAGGCATTGTTTACAGAGGCAGTGGAGAACATTAGACAATCAAGGAAGTCAGCTAAGGAGGCTTTAGAGTAATTATTGTTGATTTATCAGAGCCTCTCAGTTTTCTAGATTACAACTCTGTCATGAATTCTATGTTTGTTGTCAATTTGTATTTGGCATTGTATAACAAATAAGTTGATGAAATAATGAATTATACATATTTTCTTTACAGATTGCATCCAAGACTTATCAGTCTTTATGGAGGAAGCATGGAAGAAGTAAATGATTCCAAAGTCACCTGTAATTGTTTCTAAAGGAAATGTGCAAACTAGAAGTTTAATATTAAGAAATATGGCCATTCTTTAAACCTGGGGTTCTCACCCTTTTTGATACCAGGGACCAGTTTCATGGAAGATAATTTTTTCATGGATGGGGGGAATGGTTTCAGGATGAAACTGTTCCACCTCAGATCATCAGGCATTAGATTCGTATAAGGAATATGGTACCCTAGATCCCTCACCAGTTCATAACAGGATTCACACTCCTAAGAGAATCTAATGCTGCTGCTGATCTGACAGGAGGTGGAACTCAGGCAGTAATGCTCAGTTGCTCCAGCCTCTTGCTGTGTGGCCAGTTGGGGATCCCTACTTTAAACAGATATCCTAATAGCAATTGCTATTTTTGATGTTACTAACAATTAGCCTCTATGGTTTTAAAAGTCAAGATGAAATATCAATTCCAATTTTGGTTTTTACAATGTTTACTGGATGCACACAAAAACTTAGGCAACATCTTGATATATCAATGTGGATACTTTCATTTTTCAGAATTTGAGCCCATTAATTATGTTGTCTTCCCTGATTTTACTGATCCCTAATCCAGAGCAGTTAAATTTCAAAATAACATAGTTATAGATAGACTACCTGCCAAAAAACCCCCATCTCTGTCTTCTTAAATTTTATTTTGAACTGGGCAAAATTTAGCCAAATACATAATTGCATTTCTCTTTATCAGAGGGGCCTGTGTTGGACAATCATAGTGCACTGCTTTCAATGTGCTCAAATAATACCTAAAGTATATAGTCGTTTCTGAGTAGGAAAGAACCAAATTTAAATTTCTAGAGAAGGCAGTTCTGAATTGGGGCTTGACTTCTTATCTGTGATCCTAAGACGTTCTCCTGTAAGAATGGCTGGACTCTTTATAATGATAAAAGGATAAAAATGTATCTTTTGCACAAAGAGTGTTTTCAAAAATACATAAATGTCACAAAGTTTATTCCTGTGTATACACATTCTGCATTCAGGGGGTTTGGTGTTTGTGTTTCACTACTCAAATGGCTTCACAAATCTCAGAACATTCCTCACCATCATGCAGGCCTGTGAACAGATAACTTTTATCAATTAGGTTGGCTAGTTGCAGAGATTTCATCTAGAAATCTTTTCCAAAATTGTAAAGACTGCTCTCTAATAACAGATATTCAGAATTCAGCCACAGCTTTCTTAGGAAGACAGATAAAATTATATTCTGCAATTATCTAGCTCATAAGCATAAAATAAATATTACAAAAATGATTCTATTTGCAAATGGAAGATATTTAAATTATTTAAAATCCAGAAAGTTATTTCATTTAAAAAATAGAACTTCATAGAATAAGAACAAACTATATAAAAGTACTTTAGCTGTCACTTAACATTTCGTGAAAATTTTGATGTCTCATTTATATTCATTGTATACAAATTGAATCAGCATCTTTCGGCTAAATTTATGAATTTTGTTTCTCCATTTTCATGCAAGGGAACACTTACATTTGAAAAGAGTAACAAACCATAACACCCAAGCAAATATTTGTGTGATAGTCAATATTTTACACAGTACATGCATAAAGTATAGACCGCCTACTTAGTCTTTGCACCGCTTTGATTTTTAAAAAGTTATTAGTGAGGTAAGATTTTCTTATTTTTTAATCAGTGTATATTAGCTAAAGTGCAACACTCACAATCTTTTGTTTCAGCATATAAATTTGAATATTTACGTACCTTTAAATAACAAAACATTTGAAGATGGTTCTTAACTATCTACTCCTGGGTATGCTTGATAAAGGTGTGTTATAGGAAGCATAATAGATATATATTTACATAAACACACATTATATATACAGAAAGATGGGGAAATCCATAGCTGTATAAAAAATAATTATCTAAAGTCATTTCATTAAGCTCACACCAGTGTACAAGTTCAATCTGAATATTGCCCATTAGGCCTATAATACTCATACTCTGCTAAAAAAGATGGTTAGAGCAAAGCCCATAGGAAATGTATTATAAATAAAAGGCTTTAAAGTATTGATAATGGTCTACTTCCGCTCATTAGAAAATTTGGGAACAGCTCTCTCAAAAATTCTACTAAATATTTTTAAAGAACATATTTTGAACAAGTTTCAAACGTGTATTTGAAATGAACCTCTTACCGAGGCAACCACATATGGTAAGTAGTATTTCTTTGAAAGGAAAAATATTTCAAGTCTAAGACTTCTCCAATATGATTCAACTCAGATACACTTTCAGGATATCGTCAAGGGTTTCGTTTTCTTGAATAAATTGAATGCTTTAGTGTTTTACTACCTATTTATAAGCTGAGAGATTATCTTTGGCTGTATTATTACCTTGACAGTTCTTCTTTCTCAAAGAGTAATCATTGCTAAGATTTTACCCTTGCATGAAGACATAGTATGTCACAAGATCATGAGTAAAACAAGTCCAAGAAAAATTCATGTTTTCTGGTAAACAGTGTCTTAAATTTTTTAACTACAACCTGAGTCTGTTTTCCATTCTCTCAATTTGAAAGAAGTCTTTAATCATCATCATTGCTTTTACTGTTGATATAACTCCAACTGTCTCTTCTGTTTTCTTCTTGTAGGATAGATTTGTATTGTCTTTTAAAGAAGCCAGCCTGAAAATAGCATTACATAATCACTAGTGTATAGTTGTGAACACTCTTATCTATTATACTCATTTCTAATATCTAAGCAGTTAACACCAATATTTCTTAAATTGTGTCCCTTATAACATCATAAAGGTTTTTGAACAGGTAATTAGTTGGGGACATACTGGGTTAAAAAAACATTTGTTTTTAATGCAGAAATTCTCAGTGATATATGCCACATTCTCTCCAAAATTGACATTCAGTGTAATTTGCAGTCTTTTCCAAATGCATTTTAAAAAGCAACATCTTTCAAAACAAATTAAGAAGGAATCTTTTTCTAAAAAGACTTTGGTATTGAAGAGAAATGAGAGATCAGTACTGAGCAACATAAAAAAATTAACATTAAAATACTGAAAAACTTGGAAGCCAGAAACTGGCTTTGAGAAAATGATGTCACTTTGAGTAGTTTAACGCTGGTAATTCTTAAAAGCTTACCTTCCACATAACATAAGAGATCAATAAAAGTACAATAAGTCCAAGTAGCAAGCTACTTGAAATAATCACTATGGTGAAATGACGTTTGGGTCTTTGATGATGTAGTCCTTCCAGTAGAACCTACGTGAATTAAGAAAAAACATAAAAGAACAAGAAAAAAAACAAACCTACAGTTTAAAAACTTGCTTATATTTCCTTTAAAGTCCTGTCATAATCCCCAATAATATTTAGAACCTCCCAGCCCATTTTCTTGCTGGTTCTAATATAACCACAGGAAACAGTGGTAACTGTCTAGCAGAAACAGTGAGTATGACAGCCTCTATCCATGACTTTTCCTCCAATCTATCCAATACTCACTGCTGCCCAGTTCACCTCTCTAAAGGAACTGCTGTATCATTCCATCTTGCCAGTTGTGGAAAAATGCCAACTCTCAGCCAAACACTGAGGGCCCTCCATGAGCTGGTCACATTCTACTTTCCCAACTCAGTTACTCAAAAGGAAGTGATTATAGACAGACACCCTTGGAATGTGTTTTCCTATAATTTTAATGTAGCAGTTAAGAGGGTAATCTTACATGCGCAACATTCTCATCCTTGTTTAGTTCAATAACTCTTGGATTTGGTTCTGGAAAAGCTGTTGCTCTTATTTCAAACTTGAGTGCTGAAGTCTCATCCTGTTTAATAATAGATCAGGCTATGGTGATTTATTTCATGAAGACTATTAATAAAAATAATTTATCAGGATCTTTACCTTCTATTAGAGGTTTCCACAATTTATCTTCCCCAATTTACTTCAATACTTAAAATTAACTGCAGTGCTTCCTTTGGTTCCCAAAGTATGGTCTTGGTATTAATTTATATAGTATTTCATTGAAATCCTTTGATTAAACATAGCTACCCTGCAAATAACTTGATTTAAATATTTATTAGACAACAGCAAGTTACTAGTTACCAGTGTTCTCCACCCTGCCACCACATATTGAATCTATCTTGTTTGGGCTTTTTATTTCTTTGTACATTAAATACATATATAGAATTCAAATATAAAATCAGTGGATGAACTCAGAACTTTACTATCTAAAGCAGGGACTTTGAAACCCCAAATCCATGGAGCTTGGGAATCTGTGGATGTGCCTTACAAGTTCTAAGAATCTTCAGGAGATGTTTTCATGTCTGCATTTGCTGAGGGAGATGAGAATATATTCTTTAGTCAGACTCTTTAAGAGGGATATGACCTTTAAAACCACTGTGCAAATGTGATTTAACATTTTAGAGCCAAAAATAAATGACAAACTTCATATAGCCTAGAGCAATAGTTCTCAGCAGGGAGGGTTTTTATCACCTAAGGGACAGGAATGTCTGAAGAAATTGTCAAGTGTCAGAATGTGAGAGGTGGTACTACCAGCAGTGAGTGTGTAGATGCTGAGGATGCTACCAAATATCTTACAATGCACTGGATAGCCCTTGACAACAACAATATCTGGTCCAAAATGCCAATTATGGCCACTGAGGGGAAACCTAGACCTAGAGAGAAAGAGAAGGCAAATTGCAAAAGGTTAAATGACTTCCTGGTGGTCTAATGACTTCCCTTTTAGCACAGTTGAAACTAGAATGGATATTTCTTCTTTGCCTGTCTAGTGTATCTTCGTCTTATCCACTGTTTGGTAATTTCAAAAATCCCACTTGAAACATAACAGCTGCTATTTCCTTTGGCTTCCTTTGTGCCATGAACTATTACTAAGTGCTTATAAAAATCATCTCATTGGCCGGGTGCGGTGGCTCACGCCTGTAATCCCAGCACTTTGGGAGGCAAAAACTGGAAGCATTCCCTTTGAAAACAAGCACAAGACAAGGATGCCCTCTTACCACTCCTATTCAACATAGAATTGGACATTCTGCCCAGGGCAATCAGGCAAGAGAAACAAAGTGTATTCAAATAGGAAGAGATTAAGTCAAATTGTCTGTTTGTACATGCCATGACTGTATATTTAGAAAACTCCATGGTCTCAGCCCCAAAACTCCTTAAGCTGACAAGCAACTTCAGCAAAGTCTCAGGATACAAAATCAATGTGCGAAAATCACAAGCATTCCTATATACCAAAAATAGATAAGCAGCCAAATCGTGAGTGAATTCCCATTCACAATTGTTACGAAGAGAATAAAATACCTAGGAATACAACTTACAAGGGATGTGAAGGACCTCGTCAAGAACTACAAACCACTGCTCAAGGAAATAAGAGAGGACACAAACAAATGGAATAACATCGCATGCTCATGGATAGGAAGAATCAACATCGTGAAAATGGCCATACTGCCCAAAGTAATTTAGAGATTCAATGCTATTCCATCAAGCTACCATAGACTTTCTCCACAGAATTAGGAAAAAAAATACACTTTAAATTTCATATGGAACCAATAAAGAGCCTGTATAGCCAAGAAAATCCTAAGCAAAAATAAAGCTGGAGGCCTCATGCTACATGACTTCAAATTACACTACAAGGCTACCAAACCAAAACAACAGGATACTAGTACCAAAACAGATATATAGACCAATGGAACAGAAGAGAGACCTCAGAAATAACACCATACATCTACAATCATCTGATCTTCTATAAACCTGACAAAAACAAGCAGTGGGGAAAGGATTCCCTATTTAATAAATGGTGCTAAGAAAACTGGCTAGCCATATGCAGAAAACAAACTGGACCCCTTCCTTGTACAAAAATTAACTCAAGATGAATTAAAGACTAAAATGTAAAACCCAAAACCATAAAAACCCTACAAGAAAACCTAGGCAATACCATTCAGGACACAGGCATGGTTAAAGACTTCATGCCTGCAACACCAAAAGCAATTGTAACAAAAGCCAACATTGATAAATGTGGTCTAATTAAAAGGCTTCTGCACAGCAAAAGAAAGTATCAGAGTGAACAGGAAACCTGGGAGAACATTTTTGCAATCTACCCATCCCACAAAGATCTAACATCCTGAATCTACAGGAACTTCAATTTACAAGGAAAAAAAAAAAAAAAACATCAAAGAGTGGGTGAAGAATATGAACAGACACATCTCAAAAGACATGTGGCCAAAAAACATGAAAAAATACTAATCACTGGTCTTAGAGAAATGCACATCAAAACCATAATGAAACAGTACCTCATGCCAATTAGAATGGTGATTATTAAAAAGTCAGGAAACAACAGATGCTGGTAAGGCTGTGGAGAAATAGGAACACTACACTGTTGGTGGGAGTGTACATTAGTTCAACCATTGTGCAAGACAGTGTGGCAATTCCTCAAGGATCCAGAACCAGAAATAACAATTTGACCCAGCAATCCCATTAAAAGGATTATAAATCATTCTACTATAAAGACACGTGCACACGTATGTTTATTGCGGCACTGTTCACAATAGCAAAGACTTGGAACCAACCCAAATACCCATTAACAACAGACTTGAGAAAGAAAATGTGGCACATATACACCATGGAATACTATGCATCTATAAAAAAGAATGAGTTTACATCCTTTGCAGGGACTTGGATGAAGCTGGGAGCCATCATTCTCAGAAAACTAGCACAGGAACAGAAAACCACTGCAGGTTCTCATTCATAAATGGGAGTTGAACAATGAGAACATATGGATACAGGTAGGGGAACATCACACACCAGGACCTGTTGGGGGTGGTGGTGAGGGGAGGAATAGCATTAGGACAAATACCTAATGTATGTGGCGATCAAAACCAAGATGACAGATTGATAGGTACAGCAAACCACCATGGCACATATATACCTATGTAACAAACCTGCACATTCTGCACATGTATCCCAGAGCTTAAAAAATGTATGTATATATATACATTAGATTTTAAAGATAGTTTGAAGCAATTTGAAAATAATTTAAAGGTTTATAAAATGTAAGGCAGTCAATTTATTTAATTTAATAAGGTTCATAAGCAGTTGGGCATGCTTTCTAAAATAAACATTTTAATTTTTCCATAGTCTATTTTAGTCCTTTTTTTGCTATGAGACAGAGTATCACTCTGTTGCCCTGACTGGAGTGCAGTGGCATGATCTTGGCTCACTGCAACATCAGCCTCCAAGTGATTCTCATCCCTCAGTCTCTGGAGTACCTGGAACTATAGGCACAGGCCACTACACCTGGCTAATTTTTGTATTTTTAGTAGGGATGGTTTCACCATGTTAGCCAGGCTGGTCTTGAACCCCTGCCCTCCAGTGATTCTCCTGCCTTGGCCTCCCAAAGTGCTGGGATTACAGGTATGAGCCACTGTGTCTGGCCTATTTTAGTCTATTACCTGTAAATTACTAAAGCTATTCTACTTATTCAGTGTAGCTAAATGAAGTGCTAGAAATAGTTTTAGAGTTTTACTACAAAATTTTATTTAAACCTTAATTTGTTGAATGCCTTCAAACTATCCTGCCTATGTGACTGAACCAAGTTGTCAATGTATTTTAGACTTACCATTTCTAAAATGGATGACCGGCCTTCCAATTGGATATGAACACTGGCTTCTTTTCCGCTTTCCATTTTCCCAAAATTACACAGGAAATTTAAACAATGTGGATCAGCTTTTATGCAGTACTTGAAAGGAATATTAAAGTGCTACATTAAAATTTTCAACATTGGAAAATATTTTTAAAATATTTCATATAGAATTTAATATATACTCTAATAGCATTTTGAAAATTATCTTTCTATAAATATTAAACATCTGCTTAGTGGCATTTAAAAATTATCTTTAAACAAGACATGAATGTTTATTTTGTAAATTATATTAAAGTATTTAAACTGGAGCATATGTTCTTATTTATATTAACAGTCTTCTGGGACATAATTTTTTAAAAAAGATTCCTAATCAGTCTTCCTAAGTGACATATTCTATGTTTGTTGTAAACGTGGGTCATTTCAAGGTGATGACTGCTTATACAATTTCTTTTCATAAAGTCACTAAGATGAAAAGAATGAAAATTCTCATGCCACAAAGCTTGCCCATGTGAACACAGCATCTTGGTGTCCTGAAGGGTCTGGAACAATGTCTTGTTGGCAAATAGTGAGCATTTGTTAGATAAAAAATGAAACTGTATAATGTATAATGTATAATGTGTGTGTGTGTGTGTGTATGTGTGTTTATTTATTTTTGCATGATGGAGTCTTGCTCTATTGCCTAGGCTGGAGTGCAGCAATGCAATCTCTGCTCCCTACAACCTCCACCTCTCCAGTAGCTGGGATTGCAAGCACCTGCCACCACGCCCGACTGATTTTTTGTACTTTTAGTAGACAGGGTTTCAGCATATTGGCCAGGCTGGTCTCAAACTCCTGACCTTGTGATCACCTCACCTTGGCCTTTCAAAGTGCTGGGATTACAGGCATGAGCCACTGCACCCAGCCAACATATTTATATAGGGGATAGACCCTGGGTCTATCTCAACTCTCCAATTGTGTTTGTTCCTTTCATGCAAGAATACTAGCTAAACTTGTCTTCTTTCTTCTCATTGGAGTGACTGCTCAAACCCATTGACTTGATTTTAAGTGTCTCACTTCTCTGTCAAAAAGCAAGAACTACAACCTAAAAAATTGAAACTTACCAATAGCCTCTTATCAGTCTTGGAAAAGAACTGGAATATGCCTTTCAAGGTCTGCATTGTACTTTGTTGCTGCTCTAATGCACATTCTCGTTGATAATTTTCAAAGTTGCATTCTCCAGTAGTAGTCTATGAAGATAGAAAGCAAGAGAAATCTTATCTTTCAAAATTGGGGAAAAAAACAGTAAAAAGCAACATGGTTTTAAAAGCTCCAATAGCTTACTTTACTAAAATACATCAAGTACTTCTGAAATTGTGGAATTTTTTTGACATATTTGGGAGTGATTAAACGTCTGTGGCAAAAACACAAAAACCCAGCCCAATTACGGAGGGTTGGATATAAGTTCTAAGCCGATAAAATAACCTTAACTTACAGAAATGTGAAAAATGATATCAGAACATTAGCATGAAAGTTCATATTTATTTGCCTTTATAGGCAAAACAGTGTTACACCATATCCTTCTCTCTAAATCTGGAAGTTAAGATTTTCAAAAATCACACCTCAAACCTATTTAGTAGATGTGTTGACTTGTCTTCAAGCTGACTGAAGCTCAATTCCTAAGTGACATATTCTGTTTGTTGTAAACGTGGGTCATTTCAAGGTGATGAATAAAGGACTGATTTGCATTTATTTTAGTATTTAAGACACATAATAAAGGTTAGGTGGAAGAAATACATTTTTTACCTGGACATCCAAAATGTTGAACAGCTTATCAGTTTGGGGGCTAAAAGAATTTGGTACCATTATTTCCACACTAACATTAGGAGCCATGCTATTGCCAGTGTTGATAACCTGATCATAAGGAAAAAATTTTAACAAATTAAATGTTTTTTTATAAACATAAGTACAGATATCAATGAGCTTTCAGGTGATTCCATATATTTCATGCAACATTTATACTGGTGGAGGTTTAGAGTTGGCAGCTGCACAACAAAGGGAGATAGGATATCCACAGTTAGAATTTAAGATATCAACATTCAGAATTTTTAAGGTTTGCTAATAATTTCAAATGAGTCATTATTTCTAACCTTCTAGTTTTGGTATTGTTGAGACCAAAATATATAGGCTGATGGTTTACTAGAGAAACAGTCTTAGGAGAAATGAACAATATGTACATTTGTATGTTACAGTACATATTTTTAAAATATGATCATTTGGTTTTCATGGGGTAGGCCAATATTTTACTATTCACTAGCTAAGGAAAATGCTAACAGGTGTTCTTAGTGTTACCAAGACAAAAGTTTAAAAATGGCAAGAGTTGAGCAACGAAATCAGAGAGGACACAAACAGATGGAGAAACATTCCATGTTCATGGTTAGGAAGAATTAATATCGTGAAAATGGCTATACTGCCCAAAGTAATTTACAGAATCAATGCTATCCCCATCGAGCTACCATTGACTTTCTTCACAGAACTGGAAAAAACCACCATGAACTTCATATGGAACCAAAAGAGAGCCCGCATAGCCAAGTCAATTCTAAGCAAAAAGAACACAGCAGGGGGCATCACACTACCGGATTTCAAACTATACTATAAGGCTACAGTAATCAAAACAGCATGGTACTGGTACCAAAACAGAGATATAGATCAATGGAACAGAACAGAGGCATCAGAGGCAACACAACATAGCTACAACCATACAATCTTTGATAAACCTGACAAAAACAAGCAATGGGGAAAGGACTCCCTGTTCAACAAATGGTGTTGGGAAAACTGGCTAGCCATGTGTAGAAAGCAGAAACTGGACCCCTTCCTGACACCTTACACCAAAATTAACTCCAGATGGATTAAAGACTTAAACATAAGACCTGGCACCATAAAAACCCTAGAAGGAAATCTAGGCAAAACCATCCAGGACATAGGAGTAGGCAAGGACTTCATGAACAAAACACCAAAAGCATTGGCAACAAAAGCCAAAATAGACAAATGGGACCTAATGAAACTCCACAGCTTCTGCACAGCAGAAGAAACAGTCTCTAGTGTGAATCGGTAACCAACAGAATGGGAAAAAATTTTTGCAGTTTACCCATCTGACAAAGGGCTGATATCCAGAATTTACAAAGAACTCAAACAGATTTACAGGAAAAAAACAAGCCCATTCAAAAGTGGTCAAAGGATATGAACAGACACTTTACGAAAAAAGACATATATGAGGCCAACAATCATATGAAAAAATGCTCATCGTCACTGGTCATCAGAGAGATGCAAATCAAAACCACATTGAGATACCATCTCACGCCAGTTAGAATGGCGATCATTAAAAAATCTGGAGACAACAGATGCTGGAGAGGATGTGGAGAAAAAGGAACACTTTTACACTGTTGGTGGGAGTGTAAATTAGTCCAACCATTGTGGAAGACAGTGTGGCGATTCCTCAAGGCATTAGAAATAGAAATCCCATTTGACCCAGCAATCCCATTACTGGGTATATATCCAAAGGACTATAAATCGTTCTACTACAAGGACACATGCACACGAATGTTCATTGCAGCACTGTTTACAATAGCAAAGACCTGGAATCAACCCAAATGCCCATCGATGATAGACTGGATTGGGAAAATGTGGCACATATACACCATGGAATATTATGCAGCAATCAGAAATGATGAGTTCGTGTCATTTATAGGGACATGGATGAATCTGGAGAACATCATTCTCAGCAAACTGACACAAGAACAGAAAATGAAACACCGCATATTCTCACTCATAGGCGGGTGATGAAAAATGAGAACACATGGACACAGAGAGGGGAGTACTAAACACTGGGGTCTATAGGGGGAAAAGGGGAGGGCCAGTGGGAGAGGGAGGTGGGGAGGTATTGCCAGGGGAGAAATACCAAATGTGGGTGAAGGAGAGAAAGCAAACAAAACACACTGCCCTGTGTGTACCTATGAAACTGTATTGCATGCTCTGCACATGTACCCCAAAACCTAAAATGCAATAAAAAAAATAAAAAAAATAAAAATGGCAAGAGTTATAACCAAAACTCAGGTATTGTAATTCTAAATCCTATGATGCTATCACAAAATCACTCTGTGCTGAGAGGACAATCAGGAGGAGAAAATGAATGAAAATGTATTTGTATTCAGGAACCACATTCAGAAAATTAGAAGAGAGTATGTTGTTGGGTTTTGAGAAAGCACAACAGGTTTTTAACAATACTGTTCAAGAAATGCATGAGGATGATAAGTCTGGGGATTGAAGATTCCTGAAAAAGGAAGTGGGGCCAAAATATAGCCTACTGAGCCAGCAGCTTAACTATTAAAACCAACACAGTAAGTCAGAAAGAGTTGCATCTCAATACCTTGATTAAAAAAGACTTGCAGACCTGCAGTCATTTTTTGAATGCATATGACATAGATGAAGAAAGTAAATGTCTCTAAATTGGGAAAGGTGGTAATTGCTAATCCATAAAAGCACAGGGCAGTTGCAGAAGGAAATATCAGCAACAGATACCTATCAGTGCCCAGTACTACAGACAAGATTTCTAGATGCCACTAAATATCTAAATTACAGTCACCTCTGTTTGCCTAACAACAATTAGACCTCTAAGAACAAATCTACATAGTTGGCTAGACACAGAAATCCTATATACTGCAAGTTTCTCCAGTCCCAGTCACTACATTATAAATTCAGTAGAAAATGCTTAACTGTTAATTATAAATTAATAAAGATTCTAGAGTCCAGTTTGGTTTCTGTTTTAGTTTATCAAATCACAAACTCCCATTGGGTTTTAAAGGGCATTTCCTGGGACTTCAAAATAGAGGACTAAATTTTTTCAACATTAGTATTAACTAGTGTAACAAAAACTGGAGTATACATAGAATCAATAGGATTTCAAGGTCATTCTTCTTCCACAGATCTGGGGCAAGGCCCGGGAATTTGCATTTTGGATATGTACCCCAAGTAATTCTAATACACATTTTGAAAAACATTGTCTTACAAAATATTATACCTAATCCAAGATTCATTCACATCTACAGATAATTCTGTAAGAATGCTTGGACAGTGCTTTTGGTTCAAAGAATATGTTTTTTTGAAATTATCTTTATTTACTAAGCACCAACATCTTTGATACCACAAAAATCTCAGTTTGACATTAAAATTGTTTTTATTATTTTTTTATTGTACTTTAGGTTCTGGGGTACATGGGCAGATCCTGCAGGATTGTTGCATAGGTACACACATGGCCATGTGGTTTGCTGCCTTCATCCCCCTGTCACCTACATCTGGCATTTCTCCAAAAATGTTTTTAGAAACTTAGGTTTACATCAGTCTCCTAATACTTCTGAATGATGATAGTACTCTCTACTTTAAAAGTTATTTAATAATTGATAAAGCACTTATCACAGGTCATCAACTTATGGCTTGAAAGGCTGACCCACGTGACCTTAAATTGAGATGGGCGGTAAGAGCCTGCTTTACTTTGTAGTGTTAAGGCTTTTATAAGGTTTGAACCAAGAAGAAATTTCACTGATTTGCACCCAAAGATGCCTTCCATTGGCTTGTCCTGTTTTCTATATACATCTCTAGCAAATTCAGCTCATCCCATAACTTTGCCTGTTTCAGGCATTATCTCTGTTACTGCATGCTCTTTCTCACTTGTCCTGTAGGGGATATGGGCTTGAATATCAGGGACAAGACAAGTGAAAGGAAAGCAGTAGGGGTCTAAGAGGCAGGGAGTACCCCTGCTGCAGCTCCATTCCAGCCAGCCGTGGTCTACAGAGGCTGAGGAACATTATAGGTGCACAGTGTCCCTTGGGGCAATGCATCAGTGACATCCTTTTAGATTTTTACAAATATCCACACAATTAGCTTTTCTTACATGGAAAGTTAAGTTCATTTTCTCCACCATGCACGTTTCAGGCTCATTTTCATCATTTGATCCATACACAAATGAAGTTGGGGTTACAAACCTGGTGGAAACAAATTCAAATGTAATTAACTGTCTAATTCAATGACATGTTATAAAGAGTCTTTTTCTATAGACTGGATTATAGCATATTTACAAGGCACCATGAAATACTTTTGGTTTTATGGCCATATATAGATTATATTTAAAAAGAAATTAAATTAGAAGGCCATGTGCTCTGACCTGGGTGACAATATCTGTCCTCACTAATATTCCTTTCTAGCCTTCCACAACACTACACCTTGTTCATTCTACTGACCATTCCTTCTCTTTCCGTCCTTAAGTGATTCATTTAAATTTGGCAAATGTGGGATAAATTATTGGCTTTTTCCTAGGGCTCTTATGACTCAATGTATGCTACCCATTTTGAGGTCATTTCTTTCCATCTCATGATCCCTGCTGGCTACTTATAAAGAACCCCAAGTCTGGTGAACAAGTCTAACACTGTTAAGTATGATACATTTTTTGTTAGAATACAAGGTTGGTCATTCCTTTTTAAGGTCTGTGATTCGACATTTTTATCTGCAATAAACTTTAAGAAACATGTTTCTATGGAGACCTCCACTCCATAAGGTGCTCACATTTGGCAGCTAATATTAGGTAATCCCTAATTAGAAACCCATGCAACAGGAAAGAAATCAGAAATTCAAATAGCATAGATTAAGGCAGTTCAATAGGTCAACATCACTTGTTTGAAATAATGAGATGTGGGTAACAGAAAAATAGGAAGGCACTCATAAGCCAGGAGGAGCGGCAAGATAAAAGTTGAACATCCAGAAAACATGCAATGAACTTTTATTTGCTTACTGGTGATTCTCTAGGTCTTACTCTCCTGTGAATGGCCTTTCTTTTTTCCTCCTGTTGGCTTTATCTCGCAAACTTGACACTCAATTCCATCAGCTTCAGACACTGACAATTTACATTTACATGGCTGTATATCACCTTTCTAAGTGGATAAAATGACTGGGGAATGGTTTAGATTTAGAGCAGCAGTAAAGGCTCATCTGTCTATTTGTTTTGTAACTCATATATTCTATTGTGTAAAAATGTAGTTTGAAAGACTAGCAGCATGAATAAGTTCCAGTGGAATTACTGAAGATTTTAATGAGCCCCTTTCTTTACACATTTCCTTGAAAGAGAAGGGGATCAACTCAATCATGAAAATAATGCGGAAGCAATGAACTCTGATACTTGGGCTGTGGTTGAGGAAGTCAGTGATCCCATAGGTATAAAAAGAGGACAAGACACACCTTGCAGCCAGATCCCTCACATCTCAATCTATTTGCCACGTATCTAGATATGGGACTGCAGAATAGTGATTTGGGCAAGTTCACACTTCTCTGAACTGAACTTCAGACTTCACATGGGCATTGAGTATGATTATGCAAGCTGCACACTGCTTAATTCTAGGTGCCCATGGATGGCATAGTGCACAACTGAAGTCTCACTATGGCCTTGCTAGCTTATTGGGGCTCTCCTAGTAAGAAATCTCCTCCAGCTGGGCACTAGCTTGATGTAGTATCAGTGATGATTACAGAGCGGATTATTATAATGGACAGCTAAGCAAAGGACCATAACAAGAAGATAATTATTAAGAGATAGAAACAGTATAGTGTCCTTTATTTAAGAAATCTAGAATACAGGTTTTTCATTAATGTAAGAAGCAATGAAACTGAAAATCAGCTCTAAATTTGAAAGGAGGCCTTTCTGTCTACTTACCCATGAACACTTAGCGTAACCTCATATTTTAAAGGTATTGCTACAGTCACTCTGTTATGCTTCAGATTGTCCACTTCCTTTTCATTTTCACTACATAAATAGAAAACACGCTGTTAGAATTCACCAAGCAGAAAAACCATCTTTAGAGGGAACTAATTACATACCCTCCATACCTAATATACTCAGAGGTTTGTTTAAATACTTGTTGGGGAGTGGGGATAAAAGCAGATGTGGTAGTAAAAAAATTTTAGGACAAGGTTGGCAGAAAATTTCTTTTGTCATTTAAACTGTTATTTGCTTCTAATGCTAGATAGAGGAGTTTGTTGTGGTTTTTTGGTTTTTTAAAAAAACAGACCATGCAAGAGAAGTTTTCTCTTAAAATTAATGGAGCATAGTTTCATGGTTTTCCTAATTCTCCCCCTCAAAATATGGGGGTACATTTCTTCTAGTACTTTTTTTTTAAACAATAAATTATACCAGGTAGCATGCACTGTGATACTGAGGTCCTCGTCTGCTCTGCTGAGTGAGCTCACATCCAGGAGAAAGCTTATATCTATCTGTAAAACACAGAACAAGAATGTTCATTAAAAAAAAAACTGGGGTCTATTGGGGGGAAAAGGGGAGGGCCAGTGGGAGGGGGAGGTGGGGAGGGATAGCCTGGGAGAAATGCCAAATGTGGGTGAAGGGGAGAAGAAAAGCAAAGCACACTGCCATGTGTGTACCTACGCAACTGTCTTGCATGCTCTGCTCATGTACCCCAAAACCTATAATCCAATAAAAAATTAAAAACAAAACAAAAAAAAAAAACATCTTAAGTACACTTTTTATCATCTGAAATTTTTTTCTTAAAAGTTTTTGTTCTATGGAATGTAGAATTGAACCTATTCTAGAGGCATTGACTACTTCTCAATTGGCAGTAAGATTCAGGGAAGTTGTTGGGTTTGTGGTAATTTTAGAGTACATGCATTTCCACAAGTAACATTCAGAGACAAAGCCTTCTCCGAATGTGAATGCAGGCAAGTCCAGACTGACAAAATTAGAAATGCTTTCACAACTTGAGCAAAGACTCTTGCCAAAAACACCTTTTTGTATAGCAAAGGTAACATGCCTGGTAGACAGGACCACCTGGGGTGGGGGTGGGGGTGAGGGTGAGGGGTGTTGGGGAAGGGTGTGTTGGGGGAGAATTCTGATTGATACATGCACAGCCCCCCCACTTTAAAACAGTCAACGTTGTCAAAAATAAACACAAAGCTCAAAGATTTCAAGAACCAGTTTTATTTCATCACTCAGCTACCTACTTTAAGCTAAAATATATATAATATTTTATATGCAACATAAATATAGGGAAGAATAAAAAATATTCATGATAGTGAACAAAAGCCATAAATGTAAAACACTTACCCTTGAGAGATGATCTACATATATATAGCCAATACTGCAGTCAAGTTGTACCATGCCAGAGTTATCTGTGACTTCACAGTTTATTTGTTTCTCTTCCTGATGGGAAAAATGAAACAACTGGCTTGGACAGGAAGGAAATAAAAACTTTGTAACATATGTTTAAGGATGGTTATTGACAAGAATAACATCCAGAAGTATTTGCTTTCCTAGGGAAACTATTTTCTATTTATGTTTGAGATTAATAGAAATATAAATAAATGATACATAAATGTGTTTGTATATGCATACAGGTATACCATGGTATTCAAACAGGTTCTCCACAAAAACATTTCTGGACTTCTTTTATTCATCTTGGTATATTCCCTATTTAATCCAAGGTCTAAATTCCTTGAAGAATCATAAGGCAAGGAATCTATTAGGTTCATATTTTAATGGCCCTCTTCTGTCTGGTATGTGAGAATAGTTTAATGTATTTAATCAGAATAGCTATAATCTCAATAGTTGTAATGAGGTTATAATTGCAGCAAGTATAAAATATTTTAAAAATACAGTCCCTGAATATTTGAGTTTCCACTCTTCCTTTTGCAAGTAGGTTTCAAATGCTCTACAGAAAGAATGTAGTAGATGTCTATGAGAGGTTGAGGGTCAATCTTGGAGTGAAGGTGTGGTCCCTGGACAAAAGATGAGTGAATCTGATAAGGGATAGAGAAGATTCCATTAATTGTCTGAATGTAACCTTAAAATAAAGAACAGTAACTTTGGAGACCAGCATGAAGGACCAAGGTTACTTGTTCAAGGACTACATTCAAGGGGCGTACATCATCACTGTTCTGACATCAGACATGTGCTGGCTACAGCAGTGAGAATGTAAAAGCACCCAGAGAGCTTCCTCCTACTCCTAGCACGGGAAAACAGGAGGCTAATGCCCAAGAACTTGCCATTCTGAGCAGGGGCACGGAGGAAGTCTGAAAGTAATTAAGAGCCTAAACATTAAGACTTATACCCCAAACTGATGAAGTGAATTCTACCATTTGCTTTTAGAAAATAAAGTAAAATACTAAGTAGTATCATGCTATTGTGGTTTACAGTACTTACCAGCTCTAAAATCTTAATGAAGTAAAGACCCATGGGTAGTGTGACATGTAGAGTAGTTTCATATGCATCATCTCCAGCATTAAACAAGGACACATTCAACATTAATGTCTTCATACTCCCCACAGCAATATAGGTTTTATTTTCATGGGGCCTAAAGATTAAGTAATATTATTTAGTTCTTGTTTAGGAAATAAACAACCCTCTCTCTCTCTCTCTGCGTTTATGTACACAAGCATATATATATATACACACACATATATATATATATATATATATACACACACATATATATATATATACACACACACACACATACATAAAATTTCTGCTGAACATAGCTTACTAAGTTGGAAAAACAATTATGGGATTGACCCTATGCAAGAAGATGTAAACTCGTATTAAAAAGAACTCTTACGTTTTTGGTAAATTCAGTCACCCAAGGAAAGCTTGTTAGCTATAATTAAACTGGTGTATTTTCTTATTTCTTTTCTGCTTAACCTGTCACTTCTGTAATTTAACATTTTCCTTGTTATTTTACATTTTTTAAAGGCAAATCATTTTTTCTTTTCTTATAAGCCTAAAATAGACATTGAATCAGCTGCTACCTGAACCAAAGGAGGAAAATGGACAGAACTGGTAGAAAGGGAAAAGACTAGAAGGAATACTTGGTAGAAGTGAGCAAGGCGTGAAGAAAAACAACTATGTCTTCTAGCAAGTGCATGGCACTAAAATCTGTTGGACTAGAATTAAATTCTGAAGCAGCTGGTCACCTTCATCAATAACCAGGCCAAATTAAAAACAGAATTGGAGAAATGCTTCATCCTCCTGTGCATTACAAAGTATAGATTACTGCAAATGCACACATATGCATGAGTTCAAGTCCTGGCACCACCAGCAGTTCTTTTGGGTGGGAAGTAATTTAGCATTTTAAAGCCTCAGTCATCTGATCCCATACCCTTAGCATTCAGTGAAGATCTGGGTTATGTATACTATATGAAATCCTTAGAATATTTTAAATATGAAGTATTTGAGGCATAAGGAACTTATTCAAAGGCCACAGCTAGAATGTTCTATAGTCATGAAACAATTTCAAATTTCTACACAGTTCATTCTTTTCCCATTGAGAGGGTTAGAACAGCTAGGTGCTAAGGAAAACTTTCAGTTACAGCATGTTATTAACTTTCCCCAAAGACAGAAGTTCTTAGATATCTAGTAATTTAACATTTGGAAAAATTAGCTCAAAGTAGAGAAGTATGTGACCCAAAGCAAAATATCCAGTGAGGATAAAAAAAAATATATGTCTATACACCTAGCACTGCAGAATTTAGAAAGTTTCTTCAATAATGTTTAAATTGTGCCATTCAAATCAACATTTGTATAGAAGATTAGCGTTTGAATAAACTATGGGAAAACTAAAGATACTGTAGGAATTTAGTTTTTGTGAATTGATTAAAGATAGAGTATGTAAGGACAGAACAATTTCTGCTTTTAAGCATTACTTGAAGATTCATGAATGATTGAATATAACTGAAAGTTTCTGTACAATAAATCAGGGACTAAGTTCACTGTTCCCAAACACCAACACACTTCACTCCTTCCTGTAGCTGATAAAGGACAGATGTGTAAATAAAAAAAAAAAATACATATGTGAGCAAAAGTTATGCAGAGGGCTCTGGGAAACCAGGAAAGGAAACCATTTTTGCCTGTGGTAGTAAAGACATGATACTTTTCCTTCTCTACTACAATGGTTATTTAAATTGGCTGCCTCAAGAAAGATTTTTAAGTCTGAAAATATGATTGAACCTAAAATAACTTGGATTGGGTTCCTAATTGATTTCTCTGTCTCAAGTCCTTCTCTTCTCCTTTAATCCAATCTTCACACTGCCAGAGGGACATTTTCAAGAAAGCAAACTAGATAATGGGAGGTGTCTTTTTAGTACCTTACATTGCCTTCAAGATAGGAGTTCCAAATCCTTAGCATGACACAGAGGCCCTCCAGAGTTGGCCCCTGCTTCACTTTCACTGCACAATTTATTCTTTTGTTTCAGTCATATTTATCTACAAACAGGCATCTAATACACCAGGATGTTTTGTGTCTTTCTTCAAGCTAGCCCTCCGACATCAACATCTCCCCCCATGCATCTGATTTGTACTTATTCTTCAAGATTTAGCTTGGATGTCAATAATTCTTAGCTGGGTTCCAGCCAAAACTCACTGTTAACCACCTTCACCCTGCACTGCTTTCCCCTAACAGTGTAAGGTGGCAGCTTTTCCCTCTCCCAAAGCACACTGGGAGAGGTTTCACAATGTCAAGTTTCTATCTGGTTTCTCTCACCACTAGCCTAATTTGTCGTGGGGAGAAGATGCTGGGTCATTATTAACATGGTTTCTCAGAGCCTAACAACACAGTGTTCAAAAAATATATGCAGGTATGTACACGTCCATATTAAACATAAAAAAGGATTTGGTGGTGTCCAAGCAACATGTCAAAAAAAACTGGGAAAATTAATGGATAAGTTTTTGACTGGCAGAAGTCTACGAAAAAAGCAGCATAAATACCATCATCGTATAGCCTTAAGCCATGTTTATCTGTTCTGTGATGGTATACAAATTCCAAATGTCTCACTAAGAGAGTAAATATCTAGCATTACATTGTTGTGATCTGTACACCATCTAGACAATCTAACGTTTTAGTGGTGATAAACCTACTGAAATGACCTATAAATTAATGGCATCATATGATCATGGCAAAATCAAAACTGGAAGTGTGGTATGGTTTTTGAGAATTATCCTTATACACCTCAGAATATGCAAATAAAATAATTTTGGACACTTTTCCGACTTTTCTAACTCTAATAATACAACTTCTAAGCAACCGGGCACCTTAATGCTTGACAGTTCTTCCTTTTTTTGTTTTAAACATCAGAATACATGCACAGAAAAATGCACATATCCTAATTGTACAGCTCAGTTTTTTTAAAAATAAGGTGAAAACGTGTTAAACTAGCACCCAGATTAAGGAAAATAATAAGAGCAGCACCACCGAAAAACTCTTTTTCCTTCCTGGTATTGGCCCCACCCTCCTTGATTTTTAATCATCTGAATGGGTTTTGCTCAGTTTTGTATTTTATATAAATGTAATATAATCTTCGAGTATCTGAGTATGTAATTTTTGGGATTCTGTTCTTTTGCATGGCTCCTTTTCAAAATTTTGTGAGATTAACATATTGATACTTATGGTGGTAAAATGTTTATTATCATTGGTGAATACAGTCTATTTTATGAATATGCCACATCTTATTTATCCTTTCAGTTATCCATGGAACTTTGGACAATTTCCATTTTTGAAACTATTGCAGTTTAGTGGACATACATGTGTAATTCCATAGGCCATATACATATTTATATCTATTTTTGTTTCTATCTAGGAGCAGATTCTTGCAATTTTTCAACCCAGGATTAATACTTTAAAATCTCTGAATCTTGACTTACTTTGACAACCAGTCTAAATTAATCTGAAAAATTATATTTAAAAAACAAAACATACTTATAGTATGTTTGGAACTATTTGGAACTATTTTTAAATAAAAATATATATTTTAGAATTTCCATATACAGAGCAAGCATACCATGGAGCAGAGGTCTGTAAACCACCACCTGAAGGCCATGTCTGCCTGCTTTAGAAAATAAAGTTCTATTAGAACACGGCCATGTGTCTGCACTACGGTGACAGAGCTAAGTAGTTGGGATAGAGATCTCTGTCCTACAAAGACTCAAATATGTATTATCTGTCCCTTCACAGAAAAAGGATGCAGGCTCTTGCTTTAAAGCAATCTGATTAATGAGTAAATTAATTACAAAATAAACATATAACATATTACCATATTTACTTTAGATCTATTTTGTACCTTTCTGACTATAGTAGAAGCTTCATTTATCAGACGGCATTGGATGCAGTTCTTTACCCCAAGAAGCCATACAGATCTCTTAGTCCTCATAACTCCTCTGGACATGGAGAAGAAAGGAAAGAACACTTGCATATGTATCATCTCTATGTTGGGATGCTTGATTTGAGCAGTTGGATATGCTGGAAGAATGTGTAATAACTAACAAAGCAGTAATTCTAAACCCTGGGCATGATTGCATGGTGGAGGAGTCTGAGTGACAGTGTGCTACCACAACATTTTAGGGAATGGCTGTGATTTACTTGTGCCTGTGTTGTAAACCTTGGGGTTAAGTAGTACACATCTGCTTGGTGGCACAGTTAAATGGGAGAGAGGCAATGTGTGGGGACATGGCTGTCCTACATTCCCTGTCCCCCAACTCTGTTATCATATTAGAACTAAAGGAACCCATTAGGTTCTAAAAGTAAACTTTAGTTTGACATTAAAGTTTAATTAAGACTTGTAGAAGAGCTGCCCAGAAATAGACATTTATAAAATATTCTGGCTTGTAACCAAAGCATTAGTCACTGAACACCTTTGGGAAAGAAGTTGGCACTTAGACAAGCAACAGAAGGTGAAAGCACTGCATAAACAGCTAGGTTCCAAGACAACAGCAAATTAAAGAGAAACACAATGTTCACATTACAGCAGCTAGACTCCTGGTTTATTTTCCTTTTTTAAGCTATTTTGCCACATTACCATAATTACAGTTCTACTCTTTTTTTCTCCCAAAGATACATCTTACTGTAAATTGATTCATTAACGAGATGCTCTCAAAACTATACCTTCCAGCTTCCTATGTGAGACATAATAAAGAACCAGGTGCACATCTGGAAGTGCGACAAGACTGAACCAGAGCTGTCCCTGGGACTCATAGTTCATTCTTCATTAAAACATGCATAATGCAGACCTGAAATTTACAAAGCAGCCTAGAATCCATGTAACTTAAACAAACCAAGGTACCGTGTACATACAGAATCATAACTTAATAAGTGACAGAGGAAAAATAGAAAAATGATGTACTGCCGAACCAGGCTCTATGTGTTTTCTGAGTGAATAATACAGTCTTATTTCGCAAGAAATGCTCCCCAACTCTTAGTATAATGAATTCACTTTGTCTCCCTAAAATGAATTAGGGCTTGATAGCTAACTTGTTTTTAATCAAGATGCTAGAATAAAATATAGTGTAAACTGATTCCATACTTCA